TGTTCAGGACAACACTGCCTGGTTCAGGTCAAAGCGTGACCTCTCAAAGACTTGATGACCATATTCCAGTAGGAAGGAATCCTCTTGGTCACTATTTTCATTCTATATGCCAAGTCCACCTTATTTCTATGATTGAAGAGTGGACTTCCAGAACATGATTCCTTGTATCCAAAGGTGACCTAGGTGTGCTTCACAGACACAAACTAATTGTATCTGAACACGCTCAAAATTAAATGGGAATAATTTAACCTCATGTGAATGAAGAGTATATTCCTACCAAACCTATGCTTCATTGCAAAGGGCTCATTGCTTTTCTGTGAGCTTTGCACAGAAGGACAACGATGAACAGCACAGGAAAAAAAATCACATTCACAAAGAACTTCCTAGAGCAAAAATTCATACCTACAGTTTTTAAATACCTAATGTAATTCACAGGAAAATACCCTTTAAGGAATTGGCTTCTGCCAATCCCCTTCTGCAGGGATGTAACTTCAGTTTAACATTTTACTGGCCACAAGCTTCTGCCAATCCCCTTCTGCGGGGATGTAACTTCAGTTTAACATTTTACTGGCATGCAGCTCGTTTTCAAGGTAGCATATTCTTCTAGGGAAGTTATTTTCCCTCCACTGTTTATTCGAACTTGCAATGTACTATGAAAGCATTACGGCAGCTACTGCAACTGAATGATTGCCACAGAACATCCGAGTGTTGGAAATACATTCCTAAATTAGCAGTCAGAGTGACAGATGAATGGTGTTTCTCTTAATCCGAGGGGAACAAAAGTGAAACAGAGCATTCACAGCGTGATGCTCTGCGCGTTCCTCTGTATGTCAGTTCAGATTTCTGATGGGTTTTCCTGGTGAGGGAGGAGGAACTATAAAACAAATAATTAGAAAAGTATATTTACAGAATGAGACAGAAGTCAGCTTTGCAGTGATGTTGACTAAGTTTTAACATAGCTATATTTTATTTTATTAACAAGATGTGGTAATTTGATATGAAAATTTAGCAGAATTGTCGTTACCATTCACAAAATCACAGCCAAACCTGCAGCTTGTTTCTCTGTGGACAGGTCATCTGAGAGGTTCAGAGTAGCAATACAAGGACACAACCAAAACTACGTCTATACCTAAAGAGCAAAATAAGGAAAAATGCCAAGAAAATCGCCAAAGAAAAATGCCAAGAGTGTGCACCTTCTCCCCACAGGGATTCAGCCATACCCCACAGGAATCCCAACTCTCTAAAAGATTTTTAAGAGACAGAGGAAAGCAAAACTGCGAACCACTTGCAAGGTGTTATTTCTCATGGATTCTGTCATATAATAGACAACAGAAGGGGAACTGAATCCCCGTGCACCACCAGCTCTGGTTATTCCAGAGCCTAACCTGTACAATAAATGAGGGGTGTTAGGTAAATCACAGCTAGATTTTATTCTCAAGAGACGGTCACCAGTTATGAAGACAACTTCTGTGATGCAGAGAGCTCTCCTTCATGTGCACAGTTCAATTACATCCATGAACTAGGATATTTTATTCCCTCTATAACTGTTCTTACCCTGAGGAGCAGCGTTTCACTGCTGTTTTAGTGCTGTCTTAGGAGGGCAAAATACTAACTGTTATGAAGTGAGACAGAGGTGCTATTCCAGTATTTATTTTGTTTTGATTCTGACAATACAGTTGGCTGGTTTGCTACTATTTGTTGCTATCACTGAAGTTTTTATTGAAGTCATGATCGCAATGAATTGATAACATAATCATGTATTATGAGAAAATAATGTGAATTTTGTTCTAAATTTTGTTCTGTATTTTAAGAGCATTTCACTTTCCTTCGCACATTGCTATTATTACTGTTCTAGAGATGGTCCCTTTGCTTCAAATTAAAACCAGGATACATCAATAAGTTCCATACACAATCCTAGAAGAATGTCCTCTCTTTTTAATATGACAGAGTTAGTGGGTGTTTTTCAGTCAAAAGTGTAGAATTGTTTGTTCTCCTTCAGTGATATTTGAAAGTGGCCTGGAGCTTTGCTTACTCCTCCATGGCACAAATACAGAATAGACCTCACAGAACAGCAAGCGATCTCATGAAGACTTAGCTCTAATTTTATAAAATGTTTTAAAAGAAATGAGTATAAACAATATTTGCTTTTTGTATCATAACTGAAACCATACTGCTAAACAATTATATCCTGTTTAGCCCATAATGACATCAGAAATATATGTTTATCATCTGCTCTGGACAACTTAGCATGATTTTTGGCCCAGGGCATAGTAGAACTGAAATCATTTACAGTTGTCCCAACCAAGATAACCACACATTTCTGAGGTAACTGATACCTAAAAGGAACACTGCCTTTAGATCACAGTTCATGATTTAAGTAGACTAATTCCTTAAAGAACACTGTTAGAATTTTTAAAGTGTCTATTGGATTTCCTCCAAAACTTAAATAATCTACTGCACAAAGAAAATGTGATACAGGAGATTAGCCCATCCACTAACAACCCTTCCTTGAGGAACGGATCACATTTCCTACTATCTTTGATTCCTTTACACCCACCTCAAAGTGACAACAAAACCCCAAAGAAAACAAAGCCAAAAATATGCTAAACATTTTGAATAGCATGTCTCAACCAATCTTCTATTTTTTGTCATTAGTTTTAAAAATGAATAAGAAAGAAGTAGTAGTAGTAGATGGAATATATAGTACTGATTTCATACCTGTATATAATTCATGGATCTTTTCTAAAATAGGTAGATCTTGATTTTTGTCTTTTGGTTTTTTAACATTGAAACAGACCAAGAGTTCATAAAAAGTAAGAAAGTCGAGCAACAGAAAGAAGAATTACTTTATATATATACACACACACACTACAGTTCATGAATTATAGTCTAGTGAGAAAAAAACAAAACATGTAGTCAGATGAAAGATAAATATTTGATTAGAGGAAAATATTCCTTGACAGACAAACATAAGAGTCAGATTTGTCCTTGCTTCAGACATGGAGCTTCATACCTCTAGCAACTTGTGTAGTTTTTTAGGCCAAAGAAAGATAATACTGGAATGACAGAAAATAATGGAAAGTAAAGCACATAACCCATTAATTCAGAACACTGCTGTTATGTATTTTTGTGCATACGAGTTCAAAGGATTTGCCTGCTTTCATGCAAAACGTAACACTTTGCAAAAACAAATAAGAAAGCAAAGAAAAGAAAAGCAACCATCAGTTTCCAAAGCACAGTAGTTGGGAACAACTGCTCTACGACACTTTTTTTCAAATGGGGAGAAATGGGACTTTTTCCTAGCCAAACTCTTGGAGAGAAAGGATTCTAGATTAGATATTGAGTAATTGTAGTGGGGAGAATGAACGGGGAAAGGACTGGGAAAGTCCCAGTTCTGAAAGGGAGCTCCATTAAGAAGAAACAAAATGAGACTTACAATTAGGGCAGGATAAAAATCAGGTTATTTCTCAGAATTTTCCATGAAATCCCTAAAGTGAAATGAGGCCTTTATAGTAAAATATAAAATACACAAATATTACTGAATGATCAGCCACTTCAGCACAGAAAAGAAAACCAAACCAACGTAATCAGCTTCTACCCCTGAAAGGATATAAAATTCACTCTAAAAATAGCAAGTTTCCAACAGCCACATATACTATACTACTGACTAAAAAGGAAGGAAATTGGCCCAAACACTAGTGTGGAATTGTGAGCGTGCTCCTGGCACAATTTTGCCCTTTACATCCAGTTGCCCACACCAGACATGAGAAGAACTGAGCATGAAAAGGCGCCATGGACTGTTCTTCATATTTGCTCTGGACAGGGCTACCAGAAAGACACAGCTAGTCCTGTCCACCTACAGAAAATTTAACCAGAGGGACCCAAGCCAGGCCATGTCACCTCCCTTCAGGGCCAGAGATCCAGCCCTGTCCTAGTCATTGGTTTATGAGATACAGCCTTAAATACTTCAGAGTAAATAATGCAAGAAAAAAGATTCAAGAAGATGCATTACTTATAGAGAGGACACATGGCTGATAGGAAGAAATTTCACTCTGAGGGTGGTAAGACACTGGCACAGGTTGCCCAGAGAAGTTGTAGAGGTCCCATCCCTGGAAGTGTTCAAGACCAGGCTGGATGGGGCTTTGAGCAACCTGTTCTGGTGGGAGGTGTCCCTGCCCATTGCAGGGGGGCTGGACTAGATGATTTTTAAGGTCCTTTCCAACCCAAACCATTCTATGATTCTATAAAATCTTTTAAATGCTTGATCTATATATAAGAGCTTATATACATACGCACACACAAGATCTTATATATAAGAGCTATAACTTGCTATGATGTAGTATCTTGTGCCAGTACAGCTAAACCTCAGGGAAAACGAGTAAAACTGGTATCAAAACCAACTGGCATCAAAACCATCGTTCCACAGACTTCCATGCCAACACAGCTATCCTGCTTCTTGATCCCAGGCTAGCTTTTCTGTAATGTAGACGTAATTTCTCATAAGTACATAGATCAGAAAAGAGGAGTTGAAAGAAGGATGGAGAGAAGAGCATATGCTGAAGAATGTTTCCACAGGATATTTAATTTTTTTTTCTGTAACCTGTGTTATATGAAAAGAGTCCTCAAATGCTATTGAAATAATTCTCTAATGTGAGGAATAATGAGAAAGAAAAAAACAATGGTGAAAAATGCGTGTGAAATGTTTATAAATAGAATCTGCTTTCTACAGGAAGGAAATACATATCCATGGCAGACAGAAAGATCCATAACTACCTTTTTGTAATCTTCCTTCTCAGTATGTGTGCTTAGATATCAGGAAACATTTGAAGGAATAGGAAAATTATGGAAATAGGATTCCATTAGACCATCTGGGCAAGAGGAAAAAAAACACGTAACAACGATATAATATGCAGCATGAAAAAGGTATTAGACCAGCATGATGTATGAAATATTTCAGTTTTCTCTGCTGGAGCTGGGTATCAGCAAAAGAAAAGAATTACCTCCATCCGCTCTTGCTTGACATCATCAATCTCATCATCTTCAAACATGGCCAAGAGCTCTCCGGTCTGGTCAATGGAGTTGAGGAAGTCTTGAGCAAGCTTCTGCCGTTTGTTGGTGTTATTACTGTTGAATTTGTCTTCACAAAAGTAAGCAAAGAACAACAAACTGAAGTTACTTGGCTTTTCCAAACATCAACCGATGTCCCTAGGAGGGACATGTTTTACAATCAGACACACTATGCAGAAAAGGCCTGTTCTTACTGTCCTCCTCATAAAAATTGTGCTACCTGACCAAGGTGATGTCACTGCTGTGCTGCAGTAGCACTGTAGTAAAAATCTAGGGAAACATAGTCTATTGGTCATATATCATGATTTCTCACTGAAAGATCCACAGTGGACAGAGCTATAGAAGAAATTACCCTTTGGTTCCACCAAAAACCTCACTTGTAAAACAGAATATATAGAGAAAATGGTCTTTCCTGAAAGCAAGCAGAACAACCTCACTACTGGTCATTTCTCATTCTGGAACAGGTTGCTCGGAGAAGTTGTGGATGCCCCATCCCTGGAAGCATTACAAGACCAGCTTGAATGGAGCTCTGAGCAACCTGGGAGGTGTCCCTGCCCATGGCAGGGGGTTGGACTAGATGATCTTTAAGGTCCCTTCCAACCTGAACCGTACTATGATTCTGTGATTACCTACAGCTGAAAGCAAACCATAAAACAAACATTAAGATGAAGCTCCACAGGTGATGAGAGAACCCTGGATGGATTAGAGAGAACCTCTAAGATGAAGCTCCACAGGTGATGGACTAGAGAGAACCCTGGATGGATTAGAGAGAACCTAGAGAACCCTGGTAAGGTGATCTCTGTTGTCCTTAAACAGAATAGCAGCTATAAAGACATTAGATTCACAAAATAAAATTAATGGCTTTAATTACTAAAGCCTGCCAGAAAATGCAATCTTTAATTCCCAGATGAACTCTGTTTAGGAAGCATTTCATGAGCATCTAAATGTCTTACAAAAAAATGTTTATTTGTTTTAAATAGTGACACAGACTTCAGTATTAAAAACCCCAAAGCTGTCAGATAGGAAGCTATACTGCCAGATTTCTTGCATGAAACAGTATTTTCATGCATGGTGAAAATAAAATGCCACAGGCAAATTAAATCTCAAATGAGTTGACAAAAACTTTTCCACTGATTGAACAAGAAGTACAATGTTTACCTAACATCAGTGTGGATGCTCACAGGAACCAAACACAAGGAATTCATTGTAAGGGGGGAAAAAAAATAAATAAAAGGCTCTGAGAAAGGAAGTAAGTTAAATACAAAAAGTTGTGTATGGACTTTGCTAAATGTTATAAAAGTATGGCAAGGTTTTGATTTGCTATGATGAGTTTCAACTTAACTTTCTACAAAGGAAATGCTAATTCTCCTATTAATATAAATCAACGAAACTTTACTCCAGTGAATTATATGGCATAAATTAATATATTTTTAATTCAAAGAGCTTTTCCTTTAAGTCCATTGGTTATAAAATCTGTCACTTGCTCGTGGACTGGGGAAACAAAAGTGTTTCCCATTCTTTAAATTACAGATTCAAAGTATAAAAATGTTAAACCACACTGAAAAGAAGCCCAGGTCATACATTAGCATTCAGTGACTTCAGATTATGTTGGGGTTTTCTAAAACATGTCAAACCCCTTTGATAATAATGTAACAAATGTCCATTCAATTGCACACAGTAGCTGCCGCATTTAAATTACACACGCTGAAATTAATTAGCCCCTTAATCAGCACCAGTTTCTTACTTCAGCAGAGTTCTGACATTAAGCAGTTTTACTTATCATTTGTATGGTAGATCCAAGTACTTACTTTTGAAGTATTTCAAATGGAAAAGCAGAGATTTTAAACCAAATTACTCTGAAGACAATATTGTTGCGTCTTTAACTATTAAGCAAGACATTTATACTGTGCTTTGAGCTCTTCAGCTCATTTAAAAATTATCAGGCTTCCCCCAAATTAATTTCTTTTCTACCTTCAAGGAGGTCATCTTCTTCTATTCCTTTGACGATTTTAGATTTGTAGTCTCTAAAAAACATGTATTTGAGCAGCCTTCTAAGCTTCTTCTATGAGAAAAAAAAATTATATTAATTAGTATTATATAGAGTAATTTTTTATTTAGACTAACTTTGTAGCACACACACAAATAGATTACGGAGTAAATTCAATCTTTAATATGTTCGTAATTTTTGATTCTGCAGAAAATTCATACATAGAAAGTACAGCCAGGTCAGTAGTAATTCCATATTAAATATTATTTATTTGAGGTCCTTGTTGCTTTGCTTGCCAAATGTGAGACAGCAATCAGTTTGACTTTCAGAAAGCAGAAATTCAGAAATCTTGCTTCTTTAAAATACTCCAAAATCTCTGCTTACTTTGGAAATTCAAACTTACAAATGCATGTCTTCATGAATTTTGACATCCACAGTGCACGGATCATATCAGATAAAGAAATTGCAATTGGTTTTCATGTTTTAGTGTTTTTTTATTTTGATATGGTTTTGGTCATAAGGTTTCACCTATCAAACAAGGAAAGAAAAACAGAGGGGAGAGAAAAGGCGGCAAGGAAGAGAGGAACTAAGGAAGAAAAGGAGATAAAGGAAGAATAAATAACATAGATAAAAATAGTAGATAATACTTTTTTTCATAATTTTGAAATTTGAAGAACGAAAATGAATTTAATCTTTCTATGGAAATTTTTCTTTTTTAAAAAATTATTGATCTGTACCTAATAGCCAGACAAAGCAAGACCATCTCTAACTTAGAAGATTTTAGTGAAATAAAGTACAGGAGAAATATTAAAAAGGCAAAGTCAAGACAGGATTTACTGAGAGCCTACATGACAAAAATGTAATGGTCGCACTATTAAATGTCACATCTACACCTTGCATTACTAGGAGGCAATTAGAATGATTGATTTTTAATAAAAGGGCTATAAAGGATAAGGATCAATATTCATAGTTTTATTAAGAAATTGTTTTGAACTCGAAGGTTTACTGCTTACCCTAAAGATAGTGAAAAAATCTTTTTATAATTGAAGTTACTGGAAAAAATTAGAATTAATTAAAATATTATGCAATTATTGTGCTGTGCAGAATACAATAGATTTGCAGAGCAGCTATACTTTTAAATAAAACTATTCATGGTGGTGGACTCCTTTCACATAGGTTACGCAAACACTTTAAAACACGATAAGCAGCTTCCTATGTAAAGTAATAAAATTCTCTTTCATTACTGTACCTTATCTTTGCGCATTAAGAACAGGAGATCTTCAGCAGAGATGACTCGAGCTCCTCTCAGCTGAGAAACTTCAGCTGCTTGCTGCAACTAAAATAAATTAATGAATTAGGATGGCTGTCTCTGTGTTAAAACATTTATTCACCAGGGTTTGTTTTAAATAAGTTCAGAGAATATTTTGCATGGTAGTGCATAGCAAAATACTAGCTACGCACTCAGACACAAGCTGGGACTCTCAAAGGTGTCACTCACTCGGCTCTTGTGAGCCAAGCAGTGAATAACAATTTTACAAAAAGACTGAAAGACTTTTGACAAAGCTCAAGCAAAAGCTTTTTTGTTTAGATTTAAAACGATCGCTTTTAAAAAGTGCTACATCCCTTTTTTTTTTTCTTTCCTTGCACCACATTAGCCCAGAAAATGAACATGTAATTCTCTCAGGCAATGTAAAAATGCCAAATTTTTGCCATAGCACTTTATCTGCAACTTTGGAAGGGTGGCTGATCCCTCTCACAATTTATTAGAATAACAAATATTAATTTTAAACAGCTTACCTAACTATTTTTTGAAAGAAACTCTACCCGTTCTTGACTTATCATTAGTACAAACCAGACCCACATGAAGAACTTCTCTAGGCATACTCTTTTTTCATTTGAGAGAAAGAAAATTAATTGATAGGAAACACTGACTCGATTAATGAAGTAATTGGAAAAACCTTATTGAGTTTTGACTCTATTAATAAAATAATTGGAAAAAACAGGCCATTCAGATATGAAAGAGATAAAAATGGGATTAAGCAATGAATGCCACAAAAATCAGTAAGAGGTGACCAAAGGAGTGTGAAGCAATGAACTGCCCTCATCTCCACCACGACGGTGCCTCTAAAGACCCCAAAATCTGCAAACTGGGCTGTAGAGAGCAAAAATCTCTTTGCAAGGGACAAAGCACATCAGCCTTGGATTCACCTTCAGTAGGTGCAGGAAACTGGGCTATTTTATACACAAACAGATCATATCAAAACCAGTATGAGACTAGAAACCGACCTTGCGCGAGCTGATGCTTATCAAACTACTGGGCTGAAGAGGCACAACCCAAATGCAGACAAGAAGTCCACAGGATTTGCTACTTTCACCTCACCAAAGGATATTTGGTTCTGGCTTAAGATGATGCTGTAGAGTAGGCGGGACAGTAAGGATGCTTCACAACATGGAATACACCTTACCCTCTACATTCAAAAACATTGTCCAAAAGGCAAGATTTATTATAATTCCTTTGCTCTTATCCTCGTTAACCATCTGACAGACAGACTGACAGTGAGCACAGTACAAAAGTTATCAAAAGGAGAGATGCCTAAAAATTCTTGATATTAAAACTCACACACCTGTAACACGATTGATAAACAGAAATTGAATTTATTTTTAAATGTATCTATATTCTTCTTTCAGAAAAGCACTAATGCACCTGAAAATAATTTAAAGAAATCCTATCCTTCATACTCACACCAGCAATGGTTTCACTCAGTATCACTGGCTGAATAAGTATATTATTAATCTGAGCTCCCATGCTGCTATGACTTGAAATAGGCCTATTCAGAAGTTAAAAAGATCAACAAAAACAGTAGCTGTTTCTAATATCCAAAGGAGGAGGAGGGGATGGGGGGGAGAGATTTTCATTTTGGCAAGTGTTCAGTGGGCAAAAGATTCAGTCCATAAATCATAATACTGGACTGCATTAATTTTTTTCCACACTAATCACATGCATACAAAACGTTAACTGTATCTCGGATGCACAACACAAAACATACTGCATGAAGAGTTTCAGATTTTCCCCTCAAAACCCTCTCTTGGCCCTTGCAGTCAAAAAGACCAGAGAGATTTCAGGAATTCAGAAGTCACAGTAATATAATCTTACTTGAAAAAAATGTAAGAATGTGAAAAACGATAGTTCTATTTTTTGGCATAAGCGAAACTGTTTCTTATTCTGATTAGTTTGAGGGCACGCAAGCTACTTATATTTCTAACATAGAATATAAAGAGTTGGATAAAAATAAATTTACCAAGAACGAGCCAATATTCATCTCTGGTGTAAATCTATTGCAGTTAATGGATTTATGCCAAGGCCGAGTTTGGCCCCACTAAGCTTAAAAGTGTTACAAGCCCTGCCCTTAGCATGGTGATAACACAACACAGCTTTTCCAAATATCACATAGAACAATGGTGGAAATATCTGACGTGGAAGTACACTCTAGTTCCCTTACACACATAGAACTGTAACTACGATTTTCTAAGTATCCTTCCAACCCAAACCATTCCACTACTCTAGAAGACATTAATTTTCTTACCATAAAATTCAGATATTTTAATTTCCACGTGTAGCTGAAATACCTTATTTTTCCCAACATTAGACACATGACAACGTCATTTAAAGCAAAGATTGTGTGGGAGCTGCTTACAGGAACCTCCCAACGAAGGAAGGGAGAGTAAGGAGAGGAGGCCAAATTCACGTCCCATTTGCATCTAAGTAAAGCCTGAATAACACTGTTTAGTTCAATGGAGTTATTCTGGGCTAAACACAAGATCAAAATCTGGAATAATATTCTCAGTTTCTACCAAAACAATGAAAACTTTATTCTCGTATTGCCTTGACTTTTGCATCTATTTTATTTTAAGGAATGAACACACAGCATTTAATTTCTTTGGCTTAAAGGAAGCAAAATACGAAAATAATTACTTCCTGTACAGTTATAAAATATGGATTATTTATCCAAACAGACCATAATGAGTTCTGCATTGGTACACATATTTACCTGGGAAACCAGGATATGCTCAGGTAAATATGTATCCAAGCAATTAAAAAAAAATTACGTACCACACAGCCGAGGTTTGGGGGGAAGATGTATTTATAGTTTTAACACACGCATAATTGACTCATTCAAACCACAACATGAGTGCCTTGCTATAATTAGTATTATAACAAACTATCTTCTTTAACTGTCCCAGAGTTGCCATTAATATGCAATAAGCCCCGACTCCTTAATTTCCGGAGCTGAAGGCCTTGTTGAGTCGTTACCGTGGCCGCGTTACATGACGAAGGGGGATTTCAGGAAGCCATACTGAAGAAATGATCCATCTCCGAGCACTCGAGCATTTATCATTCCAGAAAAGCAATTTTCAGCTTATGCAACCTTGAAGTCAGGAGGTCTTTCTCCTTTTGCTGCTGTGGAAGCACGGGGAGTTTTTACTTTGTGAGCAGCAAAGTCTCCTGCCCCGGACTCCAGATGATAGGTGTGATATAAATACCACAATAACTTATCATATATGAGGTTACTATATGGAAACAGTGGACATTTGGCAAGAATTTCCCATCATCTCCCTTCTCCAAGCCTTGGACACTCATTGCCAATCACAGAATTTGGGGCAGCAGCAGTTCCATCATACTCACTGTATTTTCCTGATTTTTTTTTCTTTTAATGATTAAAATTATTTAGACATACTCACTGTATTTTCTTGATTTTTTTCTTTTAATGATTAAAATTATTTAGTCCATGTCACAAAGTATTTTGTTCAGAGTTATCTTGAAGAAGAGCAAACAATGCAAATTAATTAGCTTTTTAAAGAAAAACAGGCTGAATTCCCTAACACCAGCAAACAATATTTGAGACCTCGCAGTCTGAATATATTTTTTATTACAGCCAAATTATGAACCCCTAAAAGTGAAGTTGAAATAACGGAAGTGTTGAAAAGACTTTAACTATAGGAGCGCAAATAGCTCTGTTAATAATTAGGAGTTTATGAAAAATAAGTGTATTTTACAATTTTTCACATTACAAAGAAGGCAGTATATACAGTAACTATATTTTAAAGTCTAAGAAGAAATGGCTGGGGAATAATATTTTAAAATGTAATCACTGGTTTAATGATTTTATGAAGTTAACTTTCTTGGCAGGATGAACTGAAGTATGTTAACAGTCACCTTACGGCTATTTTCTTTTTGCAACTTCTGCAAATTATAGATTTGTTGAAAGGAGTATTCATTCTCCTATGACAGAAGCACAGTTACTTCAATGGTACTGTCTGCTTTTTTTTTTTTTTTCCTAATTATTTTTTCTTCCACTCCCTCCAAAGTCAACAATCACCGATACCTCTTTGACAAAAACGTCTTGATGGACAAACAGACAAAAAAGCTGGAAAACAAACATACTACATTGTGACATAATCCTTCCAGTTAAGCGGCAGGACGGAGTCGAAACGGTAATGTTTGCATGCCTTGGAACTACTGTGAGCCAAGAAAAATGCTTCAGGAGCTATGATTTTGTTTTCATTACAGAGGAAAATTAGATCATAGTTCACCTGGCTGAATTTTTTTCTGAGGAAGGAAGGTTGTTTTGTTCTTAAATATGCATTAAAATGACCTATTTTTTCGTTTTTTCTAGATCAAAAGTATGCAACTCTAGAAATACCAACAGCATGTTATGAATTTAGATATAGACATAAATGTATCCTAAACAGAGCATCCCAATACTTTTTTGAAATTAATTAAACTTCCTTTTTCACTTAAAACTTTCCATATAAGATCTCACACGCTATTAATGCTGACACCTGAGCTTCCTAACATACAACAAAAGAAGCTACACACTTATAGGGAGAGAAGATAGCAAGAACAGAACACCCTGCAGGTTACTTGAGCTGGTATTCTTCATGTTACAAAAAGAAAAGAAAAATTAAAAAAATGTGTATAGCCTTTAGAAGACTACGTGGACTCAGCCTGTGTAATGGAATGGGCTAACCAGAAAATGCACCATCCTCCTGGGGCTTACCAATGGCATAGCCATGGTTTCACCCTGCTGGAAATGCCTGCAGCTGGAAAGGGAAGGCTTTATATTGACCAATGTCATAAAATCGAACATTACTAAACAATTCTAATTTAAAGCACATACTATTTCTTTAAAAAAAAATAAAAATAAAATTATAAATACACCATCAGAATGGGCTTGGCTGCCCAGGGCACCTTCAAACTGTACCTTACAATTCGTCTCACAGCAGTAGATTCCCAGAGAGAAGTGATTCATGGCCACAGATGTGGACACTTACCAG